AGAGAGAGAGAGAGAGAGCGTGAGAGAGCGATAGACAGCAGGCAATGAGAAGAGAGAACAATAATGCGCGAGAGAGAGACAGACATAGAGAGAGAGACACAGACATAGAGAGAGAGAAGCTGCAGCCATTCCTTCTCCTCATCGTCTCCTTCCTTCGTATAGATGGGCGCCGCAGCCGAGGAGACGGCCCGCGTGCGCAGCGAGTGCGAGCGTATGCGCAAGGAATCCGTGAGACTCGGCGACCGTCTAGCCGAGATGGAGCGGTACCTCATCATGTTGCCGACGGAGAAGGAGCATCGCGCGACGACGAGGAAGCTGCGCACTCTGGTGGAGGAGCGCGACATTGAGAGGCGCCACCTGGAGGCAGCGAGGGGCGAGCTGGCGACGGCGGCGCGGCGAGAGACGGACAAGGTGAGGCCTGCTCCAGCCAATCAATGCTGCGACGGGCATCCCGTAAAACAATGCTTAAATTGACTACGTCACGAATTTTCGATGGTAAAATTTGTAAAAATTTTGTTGCCATTTTTTTACATTTAAAATTAAAGTAAGAACTAACGGGACTAAACGTATCGTCAAATTCTTACCTGATAACATTGTTTCTCAACTAGTTAAAAATCCAAAAAACCTGGACGATTTGATATTAGTGTTCCTAACATTAATTGCTTGCTATGGGCTATGTATGAGTCATGAGTGTATGTTCACATCGAACAATATAGTAAAATAAGAAGTATAATGCAGCAATTTAACCATAAAAAGTGAATAGAATTATTTATATATTTTTTTTTACTATTTACGGTGACGTAATCACTTTAACCGAAGTGGCAGGAAGTCGTTGTTTTGACGCTTGTGTAGCTTGATCTGTTGGGGAAACGTAATTGGGTGTAGCTTGATCCGCCTAGCAACAGTATCCAGGGGGCGTGGCTGTCTCTCCCAGACAGATAGATTCTTAATACAGTAGTACACATGTGTCGTCATCGTATGTAGTAGTAATTTTACTGTGTAATTAACTAATTGTATCACATAATTAGCGAATTAGTCAGTTAGGAATAGAAAGACAGACGCGTAGTAGTGTGGGAATATCGTCGGCGTCTGATGTTGCCACGGCGCGCGCACTGATTGGATGTACTTCTGTTGCCAGGACGACGCGATGGCGCGGCTGAGAGAGGAACTCGGCGAGCGTGATGGACAGATCGCTGCACTGCGGGCGCGGATAGAGAGAGCGGCGGAGGAGGAGGCGGTGAATCGGGAAGGCACGCCGGAGACTCTAGCAGAGATGAGGAAGCGGATCGGGATGCTGAGTGGGGAGCTGGCCAAGTACAGGAAGGTGAGCGTATTGATTGATTGGTTATTGACGCAGGTATTGATTGATTAATTACCGATGCAGATATTGGTTATTGATTGAATGGTTACGGATGCAGATATTGGTTATTGATGACGATTGGTTATTGACGATGATGATTGGTTATTGACGATGATGATTGGTTATTGATTGAATGGTTACGGATGCAGATATTGGCTACTGATTGATTGGTTACGGATGCAGATATTGGTTATTGATTGATTGGTTATTGATGCAGGTATTTGCGGTGAAGCATAGTAAGGATACACGACAGCTGGAACAGCATCAGCGGACGATCCACGAACTCAGAGAGAGGCAGCAGCAGGAGGACAGCGCCCTCGTGGGGACGCGAGCCGAACTAAACGCCCGCGAGGCTGATCTACGACAGTTGAGGGGCAGCAAGCGCGAGGTAAACAAGAGAACAGCATTTAACGATCGGCCCATTGGTCGGTGGTAGTGATTGGTTCATTGGTCGGTGGTAGTGATTGGTTCATTGGTCGGTGGTAGTGATTGGTTCATTGGTCGGTGGTAGTGATTGGTTCATTGGTCGGTGGTAGTGATTGGTTCATT